TTTACAGGCAAGGTAATAATTACCTTAAACGATGAAAAAACCGCGCCTACCGAGGTCGAGGTGCCCGTGGATCTCAACTGGACCAATCGTAGTGACAAGAAGCATTCAGCCCCCAAGGCCGTTATTCTCATGGGCATTGTTCTTATCTTGGGACTGACGGTTGTTACTCTCTTTAAGGTTCAGAATCTCGTTTATTCAACGAGCTATATCAACTGGCGTATGCAAGAGCTCGAATCGACAGTGAGCGACAGTAACAATGACGTGAAGCTCATCAAGTTTAAGATGTCTCTGCAAGAGAGAGACAAGGAAATCGCCGAGGCTCGGGCATCCAGAGCCGAGCCACTTATAGCTTCGATCGGTGGCATAAAGAATATCGAGCATCAATTCGATAATCAGGATTTGAAGTTGGCCGAGACGCAGAATCATAAGCTATCGTCCAACTCGTTGATTTCGGAGACCACCGAGAGGAAAAACTCCAAGGAGGCCGAAGTGCAAAATTCTAAGAAGATTTCGGATAATGTGCTCACTAACGTGAAATCTACGATGCCGGAGACTAAGAATAAGGTCGCGGAATCCACGGATTTGGATGACGCTCGTAATCATCCGAATCCATCGGATCCCGAGGAATGGATTAAGCCATTGGTCGAGACGTTCGATATTTTCGGCAATCAACCCATCGAGGACCATTTCATTCAGAACGTTCTCATGAAGCTCTTGATGCCTGAGAACAACTTCGAGGTTCTCGAATTTAACAAGATGCACGAGGCTGGTAATAATAATAATGCCGGCCACGATGCCCCGAACCAGAGCATTATTTTGAATCCTATGCCGCGCAACGTTAAGGAGAAACCGATAAAGCCGTTGCCCATGCCGATTGAAAGCTTATTGATGAAATCGCTGATTCCGCCAGCCAGTAACTTTAAAATCTTCCACTTCAATGAGAAACCCGAGCAGCAGCCGCAAAACATCATGGGAGAGGACCTTTTGCCCAAAACGATAATCCCGAATATAAAGGCTCTGATACCGTCCAACAACATGAAGATCTTTCAACTCAATGACAGACCCGAGCAAAATCCTGAAGACGACCCGCCAAAAATCACCATTCAGAGCATCAAGCTAAAGCTGCTGCCGTTATCACCTCAAGATGATTTTGCCGATAAGAGAAGTTTTCCAGCCAATGAAAATGGAAATAATAACTTCGAAATTATCCGACTGAATGAGTCACCGGAGCCTAGCCAGGATGTCGAGGCGCCCAAGATGCCATTGCCTCCTCCCTATTACAATTCATTTCCCATTCCCATTCAGGACCTTCTCATGAAGACGATCTTACCGTCGTCGTCGAAGGGCATTGAATTTGTACCTCTTAATGATAAACCAGATGAGCAACACATGATACCAGCATCGCAGAATCAGCAATCTCATGGAGGTAACGCAGAGATCGTTCACTCGGATAAATTCAACCCCTTGCCAATTCCCATTCAAAGCATCCTGATGAACACGTTGCTTCCACCACCGAATCAAAATGCGGACGATCGCTTCAATCGAGAAAATCCGGAACAAACGCATCAAGAAATGGAAGTAACAAAGATCCCCATACGTACCATCAACATCAATCCATTTTCCCTATCATTGTCAGATGCTCTAATGAAATCCATGCTTCCGATAAATGCTTTTGGCGAGCACTTGG